CCCCATGCCTCCCCCAGCCCTGCAGTCACTCAGCACCCGCCCCGGGACACCACGCCAGCGCGGCCCCTGCCCCCTGACCCCGGGGCCTCTTGCAGACATGGACAAGGAGGACGCACTGATCTGCTTTGAGGAGCACATCCGCACGCTGGAGCGGGAGGAGGAGGAGGAGAAGGAGAAGACACGGCTGCGTGAAAGGCGTCAGCAGCGCAAGAATCGCGAGGCCTTCCAGGTAGCCCCGGGCCATGCTGGGGGCCCTGGGGCCTGCACCCCCTGGGAGGCAGCCGGGTGTGTGGCACCAGGCTGGGGGTCCAGGCACCGGGGTGCTCGGTCTGGCACCATGGTGGGCGAGCTGGCCCCTTCCCTGTTCTGAAGTCGGGGCTGTGGCCAAGGGTGTCGGGACCAGTTCCTTCGGCGGCCGCCAGGGGGCTGGTGGCGGCTGGCAGAGCAAGGGGCACTGCCTGCTGCATGCTGCCAGGTGCAGTTGGCCAGGAGCCGCCGGCCCTGCTCCCTGCCCCTGTGCTCTGGCACAGGACATTGCCCGGCCTGCTCTGCCCCGACCCAGAGCCTCTGGTGCCTGACTCTTGCCTGCACTGCGTGGCACGGCCTTGGCCCCATGATGCCCACGGCCCCTTTGCCTCCCCCAGCACGGTCCCCAGCCTCCATGGGGACAGCGTGTGGCCGCGGGAGGGGCTGATGCCCAGGTTCTCTCTCGCTCTATCGTAGAATAACGAGCTGCTTCTTGCCAGGCCTTCCTGGACGAGCTGCACGACAAGGGGCAGCTGCACTCCATGTCCACCTGGATGGAGCTGTACCCGGCACTCAGCACCGACGCCCGCTTCGCCAACATGCTGGGGCAGCCCGGTGAGGACGTGGGGGGTGGCGGTGCCCTCCTGCACCTTGATGGGGAGCCCAGACTCCTGGGTTCTTGCCACGGTGCCGCAGGACTGCCCCGGGAGCAGGGGGCGGAGGGGTGCCCAGCGGGATGGACCCTGGCCTCCGTGCCGGCTGGGCATGTGACCCTGGCTCCCCCCGCTCACAGGCTCCACGCCGCTGGACCTCTTCAAGTTCTACGTGGAGGATCTCAAGGCACGTTTCCACGATGAGAAGAAGATCATCAAGGACATCCTGAAAGTGAGGGCTCAGCAGCCCCTGCCTGTGGCCTGGGGGTGCCCCAAGCTCCATCTGCCCCCCTCCTGCCCCGTGCCAGCCCCCCAGGGGGCTGTTCTCTGCATCCCATTGCCCACAGCCAGGGATGAGGCTGCTGTCCCCTGCACCCTACCCCAGGGGCAGCTGCATTTGAGTGCTGGGGGGAGGCAAACACGGCCCGCGGAGGACTGGCTTTGGGGCTGGGGGACACAGCTGACGCTCAGGGGTTGCCCAGCAGGACCGCGGCTTCAGCGTGGAGGTGAACACGACCTTCGAGGACTTTGCACATGTCATCAGCTTTGACAAGCGGGCGGCCACACTGGACGCCGGCAACATCAAGCTCACCTTCAACAGCGTAGGTGGGGGGCGGCGAGGGAGGGGGTGCTGGGGCAAGTCCTCACCCCCCCCGCCCGCCCCCAAGCTGCAGGCACCAGCATCCTTGACCTTGACTGGGGGCCCCGTGGGGCATCGCGGGGGTCCCAGCACGGGGTGTGGCCCCTGGATTGGGCCCGGCGTTAACCCTTCGGTGCCTGCCCTGCAGCTGCTGGAGAAGGCAGAGGCGCGGGAGCGGGAACGGGAGAAGGAGGAGGCGCGGAAGCTGCGGCGGCGTGAGGCGGCCTTCAAGAGCATGCTAAAGCAGGCGGCCCCGCCACTGGAGCCTGGCGTCACGTGGGACGAGGTGCCTGCCCCAGGGGGGTTGTGCAGCCCCTGCCCCTGTGCTCAGCCACTGGGATGCCCCCAGCCCTGGGTGTCGGCCTGGAGCCGCTGCTGCCTGGGTTTGCAGAGAGCCGGCGCCCTGTGCCTGCTGAGGAAGGGCCCAGGTGGGCCACGCTGCCCCAGCTCCCACTAGCACCGTACCGCAGGGGTGGGCATGGGGCTGGAGGGGGTTGCTGGGGGGGGTACTGCCCCTGCTCCTGCCCGAGCTGTGGGTCCCGCAGGTGCGCGAGCGCTTCGTATGCGACATGGCCTTCGAGCAGATCACGCTGGAGTCAGAGCGGATACGCCTCTTCCGCGAGTTCATCCAGGTGCTGGAGGTGAGCGGCGCAGTGCCACGGCAGCGGCGGGGGGGCACTACACAGCCACACAGGGCTGTGCTGGGGAGTGTGCTGGTGTATACACACGCACGTGAACACACACACACTCTGAGGGTTGGGGGGGCCAAGGGTGTCTGACCCCCAACACTGGGGCCTGGCAGGAGGGGAGTGCTCTTATACAGAGGTGTCTGAACCATTCGTTGGGGGTGGGGGGAAGTGTCCATAGCCAGACAATTTTGGGGACAAGAATGCACACAACTGCCTGTGGCTGGTCCTCATGGTGTTGGGGAGGGGGCATCAGGAGGGGGTCCGATTTTGGGGGTTGGGGGTAGTAAAAAAAAAAGTGTGCACGTACATGCGTTTCAAGGTGGGGGCGGTTGGAATGCAGGGCCTGGCCG